TTGCAGTTTTGCCTCCGGAGATTACTTCCTCATCTTAATTAGAGTTTGGGAGGTTTCTAAACTGAGTTACACATTCACTGGCAGTTTTATAGTTTACTTCCACAACCAGCTAATTTAGTAAATGTGGACTTCACCAATTTCATTCTCAGAAGCTACCTTATTTTTAACACTATTACTGTTTATGACGAGATTTTTTCCCTCCCCCCAAAAACTTTTTGAATATTAAATATAATGCTTTTGATTCACTCTAGTATATATTAGTGTCATCACCATACTATGCCCTGGAAATTATTGGGCAGGGAGAAGGAAAGAAATTCAGAGTTAATTACTATATGAGTTGAAATCACAAAATCTAGTGTTTTAGTGATTTGCTTACCAGTTAAAACTGTATACCTGGGGCGGCACCTGTGGCTCAAAGGAGTAGGGCACCAGCCCCATATGCCGGAGGTGGTGGGTTCAAACCCAGCCCTGGCCAAAAACTGCAAAATAAATAAATAAATGATGATTTAAAAAAAAAAAAAAACTGTATACCTGTAGTGATAATTACACAACTCAATTACAATATAGTCAAAATCATGGACTTGTACACTTAAAGCAGATGAAATCTCCACAATCAGCAAAGTCACCCTCCAGAACCATTTCTCTGAAGGCATTATTGGGGGTAGAGAGTCTCTGAGAGTAATTTGCACTGAAATTTGGCTTTCCTAACGTGGAAATTCTGTTTCCAGCATTTGTTGTACCAAGCTCTATTATCTTCCGTGGGGATAACCTATTATTTTTAATACTAAGCCAAGAGACACTTACAAAAATTGGGAATACTACTCTATCCCACCGTGAAAAGGAATCACTTTCAGGCCTCTGTTCTTTTGTTCCACTTGTTCCAATGATAAATAATTCTCTAAAAAGGAAAGAATATTTTTTAAAATCTCATTTGTATTTGTCTCATTGTCCCTAGTAAATTATGTTAAGGACAAATTTCTGCTATAACTGTTACCAGTACGTTCTCTGTTAAAATGAGTATTATTGACTGTTTACTGACTGTTCTTTGAAAAAAGGTGGGAAGTTAGATGAGCAGAATGTTGTTTCTATGGAAACTTCGTCATGTTGCTGTCAGTGAATAGACACAATGGGTACGAGGATTGTTTTTCATTTCGCAGTAAAATAAAGATGGCCACTTTTCAAGCCCAAATAAGTCATCTAATAATATAGTCTTGGTAATCTTATTTTGGGACTGGCCTTCCTCATTCTTTGATTCTTTTATTTTGTTTTTGGCTAATTCTTCTCATCTTTATTGTATTATTATAGATAATAATAGGATATGATTTTGCCAGAAAACAGCTTTTAGAATGATTACAGGATGGCACCTGTGGCTCAAAGGAGGCAGGCGCTGGCCCCATATGCTGGAGGTGGTGGGTTCAAAGTCAGCCCCGACCAAAAACTGCAACAACAACAACAAAAAAAATCTATTACAAAAAGATCTATTCTCACCATGTTTTCTCTTTCCTATTACTATTATAACACCCTCTCCCCGATTTCTGCTTAGTCATTTGTCTTAAAAATCAAGTTCCAATTTATATTGTACATTTTCTTTCTTTTTTTTTTTTTTTTTTTGGAGACAGAGTCTCAGTATGTCACCCTAGGTAAAGTGCTGTGGTGTCACAGCTCACAGCAACTTCAAATTCTTAGGCTTAAGCGATTCTTTTGCCTCAACTTCCCAAGTAGCTAGGACTACAGGTGCCCACCACAATGCCTGACTATTTTTCTGTTGCAATTGTCATTATTGCTTAGCTGGCCCAGGATGGGTTTGAACTCGCCAGCCTCAGTGCTTGGGCCAATGCTGTAACCACCGTGTACAGGCACCAAGCCTATTTGTACATTTTCTGACTGTATAATAGTAAGTGCCTCCTTAAGGTATTATATTAAAAATATGGTAGATACACTTTATTTGTTAAAAATGCTACTTTTATTTTTTCAATGTATTTTTTTTTTTTTTGAGACAATATCTCACTTTCTTGACCTGGTAGAGTGCCTTGGCTTCACAGTTCACAGCAACCTCAAACTCTTCGGCTTAAGTGATTTCTTGTCTCAGCCTCCCAAGTACTATAGACACCCACCACAATGCCCAGTTATTTTTTAGAGAAGGGATCTCGTCTCTCTGGCTCAAGCTGGTCTGGAACTCCTGAACTCAAGCAATCTATCTGCCTTGGCCTCTCAGAGTGCTGGAATCACAGGCGTGAGCCATGGCGCCTAGCCTGCTTTTCAGTGTATTCTTATAGTGTGAATCCTATATAAATCTTTAGCTGTCTTTATTGGTAGTAATAGTGGTATTCTATGTTAATGCTGCTACATTCTAGGCTGGACAATAGAGTGAGACCCTGTATCAAAAAGAAAGGAAAGAAAAAGGCCAGGTGCGGTGGCTCACTCCTGTAATCCTAGCACCCTAGGAGGCTGAGGTGGGTGGATTGCCTGAACTCATGGGTTTGAGACCAGCGTGAGCAAGAGTGAGACCCTGTTTCTAAAAATAGCCAGGCATTGTGGCAGGGCCTATAGTCCCGGCTGCTTGGGAGGCTGAGGCAAAAGGATCACTTGAGCCCAAGAGTTTCAGGTTGCTGTGAGTTGTGACAGTACAGCACTCTACATAAGGTGACCAAGTGAGATTCTGTCTCAAAAAAAAAAAATTAACGTTTTTTTTGAGACAGAGCCTCAAGCTATCCCTCTGGGTAGAGTGCTGTGGCTTCACAGCTCACAGCAACCTCCAACTCCTGGGCTCAAGCGAGTCTTCTGCCCCAGCCTCCCAAGTAGCTGGGACCACAGGTGCCCGCTACAATGCCCGGCTATTTTTTGGTTGCAGCTGTCATTGTTGTTTGGCAGGTTTGGGCTGGTTTCGAACCCACCACCTTAGGTGTATGTGGCTGGCGCCTTAGCCACTTAAGCCACAGGCGCCGAGCCTTAACGTTTTGAGAGTATAACATTTTTTTCTTTTGGAGACAGGGTCTCTATTGTTGGGGCTAGAGTGCAATGGCATTATCATAGCTTATTCTAATCTTAAACTCCTGGGCTGAAATGATCTTCTCATTTTAGGCTTCCAAGGAGCTCACTTCAGGCATGGGGCATGGTATCCCTCTAGGTTTTGTATGGTTTTTAGAGAGGGGGTCTCACCAGATTACTTGGGCCTGTCTTTTGTTTTGTTGTTTGTTTGTTTGTTTATTTGAGATCTCATTCTGTCACCCTAAGTAGAATACCATGGTATCATCATCGTAGTTTATAGCAATCTCAGTCTCTTGGGCTCAAGAGATCCTCTTGCCTCAGCCTCCCGAGTAGCTGGAACTACTAGTGCCAGCCACGAGGCCCGGCTTGTTGTTTGTTTTTTCTGTTTTTAGTTGAGAGGGGATCTTGCTCTTGCTCAGGCTAGTCTCCAGCTTTAAGCTCAAGCAGTCCATCTGCCTTAGCCTCCCAGAGTGCTAGGATTACAAGCATGAACCACCACCACACCCAGCCTCAGGCCTGCCTTAAACTTAAGTAATTTCCCTGTCACCCTTTTTTTTTTTTTTGCAGTTTTTGGCTGGGGCCAGGTTTGAACCCTACCACCTCTGGTATATGGGGCCAGTGCCCTACTCCTTAAACTACAGCTTCAAACATTATTGTTTTGAAAGGTATCCTAGAATAGTTGAGCTAAAAACTCTGAGAATTACTTTTCTAAATCTACTTGAAGAGATGATTCCAGAACTTAGAAGGCCCAGGGGCTGGCATCAGCAAATTGCAGACTTCTGGCCAAATTCAGCCTATGGCCTTTTTTGGAATGTCCATGAGTTAAGAATGCTTTTTATGGCTC